TTAATATAGTAAAAAAATAAAACCCCCAGTGGTGAATAAATACCACCAAAAGAAAGCTCTATCTGTCCCCAAAAAAGGGTATAAAATTCATTTCAGTACAGCGCTGCATGACGGAATAAATGTCAGTTAAAGTACCGCAGCGCTGAATACTGAAAAATGGCCTGGATGGGAAGGGGGTTTAACACCGCGGATGTCAACTGGTTAACCAGTATGTCTTTTGGAGTGTGGGAGGAAACCTACCCAAGCACAGGGAGAACATGCAAACTCCTTGTAAATAGTGACCTGGCCGGGATTCGAACCAGGAACCCCCAGTGCTACAAGTCACAAGTGCTTACCACTGCGCCCCTTCTGCTCTCCATAGAAAACAGCAGGGGAGGAGCTGTGATTTCACGGCCTTTGCTGTACATTTTGAAGAAGCATTACCCTACAATACCTATAGCTACAGAGGTGAGTGAGGGCTTGTTTTAAAGGTGCTTTTAATGCTTGTTCAGCATTTGTGCATAGTCCGGGCACAAGTTTATTTCTAAGTGTCTGCCTGGACAAAAACAAATGCAGTACAGCTCTGCAATACATGCAGATTTACCATTTTTTCACCCTCTTTAAAAACGCTACAAACACAAAAAGATATACCTGTTGATCTGTCAGGAATCCAGTGCGATCCTAACTTCCTGTAGTGAGTGGATAACTCAACCTCTGCTGCACTAAAGTCCCAAGCAGTGTTGTCAGCCCCGTATTCTCATCTCTATATCATAAGGGGGAAGTGTTCTGTGGTCCAGCAGAGAAGGATTCTGACCACACTGATAACACTGTTTGGAATTTCAGTGCAGCAGAGGCACAGAGTTGTCCGTTCACTACAGAAAGTACCTGACAGATCAACAGGTATTTGAGAGTCTCTGCACTGACCTGCTTGACTTCACTGTCTGTCTCTCAGCTTCTGATTTCATATAACATCATTAACAGAGCCCTGCAGATTGTATATTACTCTTAATTCTGTGACTCTGTTGTTTGATACTGTTATGTACTGTCAGGATCTGGAACAGCAGCATGATGAGGTCAGGCAGTTTTCAGGATATATCTGTATTTGAATATTTAGATTCTTGCATAAGATGAGTCTTGGCTGTTTGGCTGACAATTCCAAAAATGCCGTACTCCACGGGTCTTCACCATAAGTAAAGTTGTTTATTTACAAGACTGATACACACTGTATGCTCATCTAATGCGTTTCACCATATGGGCTTAGTCATGGAGACTGTTTGGCTGCTGAGACCATTTAAACCTGACCTCTGGCCTTCACTACAGTCTTGCACAGTTGTAGCGGCTCCTCCCCTGTACTGAAAATGCTTACTCTGATTTCACTGCACACCGTGAGCTTCTCCCCCTTCCTCTGACCTAACCTAACCCACTGTCACCCTCCACAGATCCATACTTCGATCTGATGGCTGTGGCCTCCGGTGTTTGTTTACATCTAGCACCGCAGGTCTCACTCTCCTGGCTGCTCCTGCATATTACACCCCCATAGATGGGGCTCTTTCCTGATGTGAAAGATAAATAGGACTGGCCCTATAGAATTCTACGGTGTTGTTATGTGAATGTGTGGGTAGGACACTTAAGACTCGAGATGCTGGATGTAAAAAAACAAGGGAGGCCCCGGCTATGAGATTGAAGTAAGCATGCATCTCTTGAAGAGGGTAGAGGGTGGGTTCGGTTAGGTCTGGGGTGAAAAGAATAAGTGCACTTTGTTTTAAAGTGCACTTATCCTTTGAAAGATTGGGTTTAGCTCAAACAGTTGCTGGATTGGTTGCTCTCTCTGTGTCACCCTCCCCTAGTTTTATATTTCCACCTGAAATACAATCTAAAGGGCTTTATATTTCCAAGTGATTGTACACCCACAGGTTGCTTTTACCTGAGTAGAGTGTTCAGGATCCCCCTACAACTGACAAGCTATGTGTTGACATACTCCAATCCATGTTTTGTGTCCTCCTTCTACTTCCTCCTGTCCTTTCCCTATACATCTCTCCCTTTGCCTTTACCTTGTGACAGCTGGGACACATCAGTTCGTGTGTGGGACCTGTCATCTTGCTCGGAGTTGAAGACGCTGTGCGGTCACACAGGAGCGGTCACATGTCTGGCTTTGGTCTCACTGAAGGACACACAGCTAAGTAAGTGTTAAACAGTATAATAGAAAAGATAGGACAGAAGTGTTTATTTTTTGTTTCAGTTTTCTTTGTTTTGTTTCATATCAAAGTTTTATGTGACATTTTTGCCTTTCAGACTCCAGTCTCTTACCACCACGTGAACACTTTGTCTGCAGTGGATCAGCAGACAGCAGCATCAAGGTCTGGAGTCTGATCACAGGTGCAGAGGCTGATGGGAGGGAAAAAGACAAGAATATGCCATGATTTCCATAGTATTTCCAAAATTATATAAATATACAGTATACATGTAGTACATAAACGTGTATGTCTGGGCAAAATAAATAAAAACATGTTTAGAACATCTGTGAAATGCATGTTATCCTTTAAGGGTAATTCCACTTTCCCTGCAAATTTGGGAAAATGGGATTACCCCGAACCTATCTGCCCCCACTCCCCACCCCGCTGCTCTTACCTCTCAATGACCTGTCCGTACACAGGATTGCATCCCTACGTTATGTATTTCAAATTTCGCTTGCAAATGGCGAGCACTCATTGGTCAGCTTTGTCTCCTGACTGTGCAGACCAATGAGTGCTCACCATTTCCGACCAAAATTTCAAATACATACAGCAGGGCTGCAATCCTGTGCAGGTATATTACATTGGCAGCTGTGGAGGGAAAGGGAGTGATCATTGACAGGTAAGAGCAACAGGGTGGGGGGGAAAGAGGGCAGATTCTTAGGGGTAATCCCAGTTTCCCAAATTTGCCTTGGAAAGGAACTACCCTTACAAAAGCAAAGCAACAACCGAAAACTACCTGTTGATCTGCTAGAAAACCAGTGAGCTCCTAATTTCCTGTGGTGAGTTGACAAACGCTGCCTCTGCTAGCAGTGTTTTCAGCCCCGTCTGAGTTCTCCCTATTGGACTAAAGCACACCACCCCCTCGTCTCATTGTCATTTCCCATGGCATAAGGGTCAGTTGTTCTGTAGTCCATTGTAGGAAAATTTGCACAGCTCTGACAACACTCCGTGAGATTTCAATGTAGGGTTGTCAGTGGACTACAGGAAGTTAGGAGCTCACTGGATTTCTAGTAGCTCAACAGGTATTTTTCTGTATGTGCAGAGATGTACTGAATTTTTTTTTTTTAATGATGATTTTCGCCCAGACATACACTTTAAATACAGTGGTACCTCGGTTCACGAACTTAATTCGTTCCACGATTCCGGTCGTGAACCAAATCAAATGTCCCCATAAGGTGGGCTACTGTGCACAGGTCTGTCTGCGGCCGCGATCTCGACTAGAGGAAGCCACGACCATGTGTCAGAGCGGGGAAGATGGCCGCGGTCCTGTTCGTCACCCAATTTGGAGTTCGCATACGGAAGCAAAATTTTGCTGAACTTCCTGTTCGCGAACCGAACTGTTCGCGAACAGAAGCGTTCATGAACCGAGGTACCACTGTACTTGGTATTGAAGTATGCTTGTACAATGTAGCAGCATTTTTTTTTTTCAAGCGTTCAGTCTGACACAACCCCTTTTTTCATAACTTATTAATTTGGCAAAAGTGTTCATAAAGTCACACTTATATTTTTAAAACTTGTCCTAATATATAAACCATATATATTTCTCACATAGTTACAGTCCTGTCGAATGTGTATGGGATCTACAGGTGAAACTCGAATAATTAGAATATCGTGCAAAGTTAATTTATTTCACTAATGCAACTTAAAAGGTGAAACTAATATATGAGATAGACTCATTACATGCAAAGCAAGATAATTCAAGCCGTGATTTGTCATAATTGTGATGATTATGGCTTACAGCTCATGAAAACCCCAAGAACCCCAAATCCACAACCTCAAAAAAGTAGATTATTACATGCAATCAACAACACAAGGATTGTACATAGAACAATATCGGACCTCTGAAAAGTACAAGCATGCATATGTACTCAGTACTTGGTTTGGGCCCCTTTTGCAGCACTTACTGCAATTACTTTTGCACAATATTCTAATTATTCGAGTTTCACCTGTAAGTCCGGACTTTGCCAAACCTAAGCTGACCATACGCTGGGATGGGGGTGTGTGCAGCACATTGGTAGTGCGAGGATTCATTTCTGGCAGAGTAGTGTGAGTAGCACCAACAGTTTGCCCAGTACAATTACAATACAATTTTTTAATACATGAGGGTTCGGAGGGCCCTGCTCATGTCAACGATTCTCATTATCGATTCGTTGTTGCAGCCCTACAGCATACAAAAGGGGGGTACTGACTGTATATAGGTCGGCCAATGACAAGGGAGTTGCAGTAATCGAGGCGAGAGATAACAATTGTGTAACTTATTAGCTCTGTGGTGTCATTGGTTTAGAAGGGGAGAATTTTGAAAATGTTACAGAGGTGAAAGCAGCAAGATTTGGACAGGGATTAGATGTGGGGTTGAAAGTAGAGTCTAGGATTACATCTAGCACCCTGCTATGAGTTGAGGATAGTTTTTTTACATTTTATTTTTCTCTTTTTTTCATTCTTGCTCTGCTTTTTTAAATGTATTTTCGTCTGTTTAAATCCGTTCAGGTCAGCCTCTGCTCAGCATATATACTTTCTCGGCAGTTTCAGCCATTGTTCATATACCAGACACTAGACTGATTATATCTGGATCTGGTGAGTCTCCCTATCTATACTATATGACTATAAGCTTGTGGACACCTGACTATTACACTTGTATGAGCTTGTTAGACATCTCATTGCAAACCCTTGGGCATTTTTACGGAGTTGTTGCACCTTTGCAGTTTTAACAACCTTCACTCTTCTTGGAAGGATTTCCACAAGATTTTATATGTGTCTGCGAGATTCTGTCCCCATTCAGGGACAAATAAGCATTTCTGAGGTCAGGTAGTGATGTTACACGAAAAGAACTGGTTCTTAGTCTGCGTTCAATCCATTCCAGAAGCATTGTTAAAACCAGCATAATGTGGCTACAGTGATCATTAAAAGAGAACTATGGGGTCAGTATTTCTCCCCATAGTTCTCTTAAGGGTCACGGGAGGACATAGTAGCTAACGTCCTCCCATACTAGCGTCCTCCCGTGACCCAAAGCTCAGTATATAACGAGCTACAGCTCGCTGTATACTGAGAATGCCACAGCCGGGACGGATCCCGACATTACTGTCGAGATCCACCCAGCTGTGTGAGTGACAGCTGGCTCTGCCTATCCAGAGACATAGCCTGCTGTGCCTGCCCCGTCCCTGTCCATTCCTCCAGTCAGCGCTGGAGGATTGGAGCAGGGAGGGGGGAATCCCTGCAGGGAGCCATGACTGATAGTCACGGCTCTCTGCAGGGAGATGACCAAGAAGAGAGCAAGCGACGGTATGTGTTTGCTCACTTCCCGATCTATTGAGCCGACGTGTGACAGTTTCATTGTCACACGTCAGCTCAAAATATGAGGATGAGTGATTTTTACTCACCTCATAGTTCTTTAAGTCCCAGTCTGCTGCAGAGAAGGATCTTTGCTCTTTGTGTGGAAGCAGCGGTCCCTCTGCAGAAGTCTGACACACACCCTGAGCTCTCCAATCAGCAAAACTCATGCTTCTTGCTGATTAGAGAGCTTTAGGTGCAGAGAGGCCATAGATTCTACAGCGAGAAGCAAGGATCCTTTGCAGCATGCTGGCAGGGGACAGGCTTTTCCAGCTGTGACTGCTTTCTAAAGAAAACCAACTCTATGACTTTGAACACCTTTTTGTTTTGATGCACCTGGAATGTAGTTAAGTGATTTAAACTGAAACATTAATTGGGCTTTAAAATAAATGTGATAAAATCAGGTTTTGGATAATGATGTTAGTAGTATTATAAATGTGGATGCACCGATACCGTTTTTTCAGTATCCAGTGCAAGTACCAATATTTTTTTTTCGGTACTCGGCGATACCAAGTACCCATACCGGCAACCCGAGGTAGCGTGGGCTTGGCTAATCAGGAAGCCGGTGTTCTATCGCAAACACACTGGCTTCACGCTCCCTTGCGTGGCTGCATGGCTTCCTGACCAATCAGGAAGGCAGGAGGTAAATCATGACATGCTGTCTGGCTTATTGATTGGCTAGGAAGCCAGTTTCATGCTGCCTAGCAACACTGCAAGGCAGCCTGGCTTCCTTACCAATCGGCAATCTGGGTGACTCCCTTGCGGCACTGCCGGTCAGAGGGAAGATCCGGTATTGGGGTAAGTATCAAAGCATTTGGGCGAGTACTCATATGCTCAGAATCGGCACCGATACCAGTATCGGTGCATCCCTAATTATAAACAAAAAGCTGGACTAAAGGTTATTTCTTTTAAATCTTGTTCTGCTTGAAGAACCCAACCCGTTGAGTTTTTATTGACAAATATGTATGGCCCATCGTTGATAGTGTGGAGAACTGACCACAGTATGGTTGCTCTGCAGACGGTGGAAAGATTGATGTCTGGGACCTGGAAACACAGGAAAACTTGCAGTCAAAAAGAACGCATGAAGAAAAAGTGACAGCCTTGCAGGTAAGTTAATGTAGAGGATCCTCTATCTCAGGGGTGGGACCTCTGCTCTATCTGATGATTTATGATCGCCAGACAGTTAAAGTGATAGGTTAAAACAATTTTGACTTTAATATTTCAATTGCTGATTAAATCACTTAAGCTGGGTACACACAAATCGAATTTTGGCTTATTCAGCAGGAATCATCCAAAAATTTGATCCATGGGTGGCCCTCTCTTTGGCAAAAACCAATCATTAGATCAAGTTTTGTCAAAGGGACATACTGGAAAATTGTCAGCTGTCAGCTAAATGGTTCTTGCAGCCATTTAGCTGCAGCCACTGTTGGAGTGTTCTGATGGCAGTAGACGCTGCTGTCAGAATACCGTGTACTCAGTGGGAGATTTGTTCATTCACGCTGTTAGCATGGATGGAGGAATCTGCTATTTTTGTTTTTGTTTTGTTCAGCCAGCATGCACCTAGCTTTACAGTGTACGCTGCTAATTGATGTTTGAGAACTGGTTCACACTATCTGTGTTTGTATGGGCTTAATTCACACCACTGCGTTCTGGTAGTGTAAGTTAAAAAAGTATGGCATGCACTACTTTTTTTAAATGCACCGTCGTGAAATGCAGTACAACTGCCTTGCACTGCTGTGAGCCCAAATGAAATGTCACTTGTAACTTTTCAATAAAGTTCTACAAAAAAAGAAACAGTACGATGCGGCTTGATTGATTCAGGTAAAGCAAAACAAACGACAAACGCACTCAACAATTTGTTACCAGTTATACAGTAAGGTGCACACGAAATGGGCTTTGAACAGTAGAACAGTAGAAAGGCATCATGGCACACTCACAAACCAGCATGTAAAACAACTTGTCTCACCACTAAGGACAATGACAGAGGTTTGGATACACGTCTTCTGCAAAGGATGTGTAAGCCGCACTGCCGCGCCAAGGCACCTCTTATAGTGCGGTCCTAACTCTAAACTATGAGAGTCTCCATCTTGGAGCACATGGGGCAGAAGATATCAAATTGGGTGCAGGCTTGTCAGGAGGACGCCCCACCTCCTTAAAGGTACAGAAACACACAAGGGATCCCGCACATCCCATTGGCAGCTGAGAAACCCCATGCGTCGCTGCACCAAATCGGTAAAGCAAAACAAACGACAAACGCACTCAACAATTTGTTACCAGTTATACAGTAAGGTGCACAGATTTGGTGCAGCGACGCATGGGGTTTCTCAACTGCCAATGGGATCTACAAACTCACAAGCACAGGAAAGGGGGGAACCAGGGAAGGCACAATATAAGCAGAATAAACTTCAGCTTTATAGAACATGTTTGTTCCTTTTCAGTTCCACGCTGGATTGCTGTATTCCGGTTCCTCAGATGGTTTCCTGAAGGTTTGGAAAGTCTCCACCTCTGGATCGCTGAGTCTCCTGCACTCCTGCGACAGTCTGTCACTCCCTCTGCGGGGTCTGTATGCTGTCTGTGCCACTGCAGATCGCATATATGTAGCGAACCAAGGAGCTTCTTTAAAAGCCGTGGACTGGAAACAAGGTGGGGAGATTGGACAAGGTTATATGATGCTCATCTATCTCTTTTGCAAGGCAACTTTTTTTTGTAATTGTGATAAGACGTTACAGTGTATACTAACACAACAAGATAAGCGTAATATGTTGCAGCTTATGAGTCCTTAGCAATGGTGGCTGCATTAGTTACTTTTTTCGGGCTTCCTGCTATGCATCCTGTAGTTTTGTTCTTGTAGTCTGGGCTTCAAAACCCTTTGGACTGCAGTGGGCACAGGTCAGTTAATGATAACTAAGCACTTCTTAACATCATTGGCTCTGTGTAATCACCCGATTGGCTGGATTTCTGAGAATTACACCACTGTTGATTACTGGTGGTGAGGGGAGCCTGCAGTGGACAGGTTTTTAATTTCTGAAAACAGGGAAACTATAATAGTTTTGGATCAATTGTTTATTTTGCTTTGGGTTCCTGAGATTTTAAGTGGATTTGTGTATCTGTTTTTAGGATAGATAGATTAGATAAATAGATTGACAGATAGATAGATAGATAGATAGATAGATAGATAGGGTGATCAGGGCAATCAAGGGTGCTGTACCTTTTCCAAGAGCAATTTGGTAACCAATCGCTGACCAGAATGAGCGAAGCGTTCATTCACTATCGATTCCTCACAGGCGGAGTGCATTTGGTATCAATGCATTTGGCTGGTCGGCTTATGCGAATCTGCTCCCTCCGGTGCCGCCTCGCCGCTTCCTCTAGCGCTGGCTTCGTTGGCACCGCCGATTCTCTCCCGCAGCTCTTCAAGTACTCCCTTATGCCACCACCGGCCCTGGGAATGGTCACAACTAGGTCTTATTTTCGGGGTAGGTCTTATATTTTCGCAGTTCCCAAAAATAGTACTAGGTCTTATTTTCAGGGAAAGCCCTTTGCTTATTTATTACTATATACTGTATGTCCCAAGTAGGGAGCTTCAATACTTTAACTTTGGGAACCACACAGACCTGCGTAGGAATGGCAGTTTTGGCTTCACATGTATGTAACAAAAACATCTGTTTTTAACTAGGAATGCAATGCACAGAAATAAAAATTTGCGTTGAAACTGAAATGTTAAAATTGTCCGTCCAATACCGAAACCGAAAATGCCCAACTAGCCTCTGCCACCCCTCTTCTGGCACCCACCCCCACCACCGTCTCATTCCTGCACAGCCGCTGTGATCAAAAAGATGTAAACAGCAGGAAGTGGGCAGGTTGGCTATTGCTCCCGCCCACTGCCTGCTGTCAATCAGCAGAGGAGCGGACCTAAAGGAGAACTCATTTCCCTAATAGGCTCCACCTACTGCCAGGGTCACTGGGCTAGTGAAGTAAAGATAACTGAATTCTCTCTCAAGTCCAGTCTTCTGGTGATTGACAGCACGCTGTGGACGGGTGCAGTAATCAACCTGCTATTGGCTACTGCTCTCCCCCACTTCCTGTTGTTTAGATCTGTTTGAAAACAGCGTCTGGGCAGGAAGGAGGCAGCGGCGGAGCACTGAAAGCTCCTTTTGTGCGTGGTCAGGCACGGTATTATCAGCACTATATTTTTCTATCAGCATTTTGCCAATAGTACTATTTTGGGCCAAAACGTTTCGGCTGCTGATAATTCGGTGCATCCCTATTTTTAACCTAAAACATTAAACCGTTTTATTAATATTTTTGTGCTGGGGTATTTTTGTTGTGTTTGGTATATTGTCCTCGAAACAGGAAATCACCTGCACTCCATACAGCTATAGACCCTCACGAAGAATTGGTGCTCGAAGTGACAACACGGATGGCGCCGTGTCAAATACAGTCCGCAATAGAAGTCACCAGCGCTCGATAATGCGTGCAAGAAGTATCGGCACTTTTTATTAAATTGTCACAAGTGTCAAACAGCCAACGTTTCGGGGCTGCGCAATGTCCCTTCTTCTGGGCAACATTGTGACAACGACATGTCGTTGTGTCCGTTGTCACTAGGGCATAGTTTTCACTTTGTCATTGTGTCGTTGTCACTATGTCGTTGTCACTATGTCGTTGTCACTATGTCGTTGTCACTATGTTGTTGTGTCCGTTGTTACTAGGACATAGTTTTCACTTTGTCATTGTGTCGTTGTCACTATGCCGTTGTCACTATGCCATTGTCACTATGTCGTTGTCACTATGTCGTTGTGTCCGTTGTCACTAGGACATAGTTGTCACTTTGTCATTGTGTCGTTGTCACTATGTCGTTGTCACTATGTCGTGTCGTTGTCACTAGGACACAGTTGTCACTTTGTCGTTGTGTCGTTGTCACTATGTCGTGTCGTTGTCACTAGGACATAGTCGTCACTTTGTCGTTGTGTCGTTGTCACTATGTCGTGTCGTTGTCACTAGGACATAGTCGTCACTATGTCGTTGTCACTATGTCGTTGTGTCCGTTGTCACTAGGACATAGTTGTCACTATGTCGTTGTCACTATGTTGTGTCGTTGTCACTAGGACATTGTTGTCACTATGTCGTTGTCACTATGTCGTGTCTTTGTCACTAGGACATAGTTGTCACTATGTCGTTGTCACTATGTTGTGTCGTTGTCACTAGGACATTGTTGTCACTATGTCGTTGTCACTATGTCGTGTCTTTGTCAGTAGGACATAGTTGTCACTATGTCGTTGTCACTATGTCGTTGTCACTATGTCGTGTCGTTGTCAGTAGGACATAGTTGTCACTATGTCGTGTCGTTGTCACTAGGACATAGTTGTCACTATGTCGTTGTGTCATTGTCACTAGGTCATTGTCACTATGTTGTTGTCACTATGTCGAGTCGTTGTCACTAGGACATAGTTGTCACTGTCACCCAGAAGAAGGGACCCTGCGCAGCCCCGAAACGTTGGCTGTTTGACACTTGTGACAATTTAATAAGAAGTGCCGATACTTCTTGCACGCATTATCGAGTGCTGGTGACCTCTATTGTGGTATATTGTCCTGGCTATGTACATCTTTCTCGTGCTTGTTATACATTTATCTGAATAGATGCCATATTTACTTTGTTTTTTTTATATACAGTATATACATTTATACACATTTATTCTTTGTTTTGTACATAAACATTATATACATGACAAAGGATTCACAGAGTCCGAGTTAGTTAATGAAGCAGCACAGCAGTAGCTGCCTGCTTTTTTGGCTCCCTTTGTCAGAGTGGAATCTTGTTCAGGGCCCTCAGATAAGTGAGAAGTAATTGCTTTAACTCATTTACTTTGTAAACAAGAAGCTTTTTTTTTACCACTTGGGAAATCATGGCAAAGTGCAAAAAAAAAAACTGAGTGTTATCTGTAAAAACATAAAATATTAAAATGCAATATTTCTTATTTACCTGAACTGAGACAAAGTAGCGAATATTTTATTTTGTTAAAGGAGAACTATGTGGTCAGTGTTTTTCCCCATAGTTCTCCTTAGGGTAACGGGAGGACACAAACTAGCGTCCTCCCGTTACCCTAAGCTCAGTATACGGCGACCTACAGCTCGGGGTATACTGAGACGCCGCAGCCGGAGCGGATCCCGACCTGGACGTCGGGATCCGCCCAGCTGCGTGAGTGACAGCTGGCTCTGGCTATCAAGAGGCAGAGCCAGCTGTACCCGCCCCCTCCCCCGTCGGTGCGGGGAGAGGGGAATCCAGCCCCTCCCCCTGTCACGTCAGAGAGCCGTGACAGGATCGAGAGGTGAGCGAACCCGGTATGTGTTCGCTCACCTCCCGATCTACTGAGCCGACCTGTGACAGCCTCATTGTCACAGGTCGGCTAGAACTATGAGGTGAGTGGAAATCACTCATCTCATAGTTCTCCTTTAAGGAAAATATGTGCAAAACCATACATGTGCCTTTTAATGGATATAGTCTGTAAAGAAGCCTCTTGCTATAATCCAAGGCAATCTGCTTGTATCCCGGACAATATTTCAGTTCCACTTGTCATTGAACGCTTTGACAGGTAATTGCACAGTGGCTCATCTAAGATATTGCACTGCTGCCCTAATAGCCAGTTCAGGATCAGTAGGATAATTGCAACACTCCCAGATGGACTTAAAAAAAAAAAAAAAACCCCCTCAGTAGAATATGCAAGTATCATGTTTGTGGAAACATGGTCAGTATCCCAGAACAGCATGTTTTAGGATTTTTAAAATTGGTTTGGTTGTTAGAGTGGGAGGAGAAATTTCCACTCTTGAATTTTCAGCACAAATCACTTTTATCACCTTATATATTATTTATATTTTTACAGCCGAAAAACCTGAAAGGTAACGGTTACTGTCTCCTGAAAACAGCATTACTCATAAAGTTAAAGCTGAACTCTTATTGACTTCCCCATTACATCGGAGAAGTTCTAGCAAGCAGTGGATAACTCGCCAGGGGGTAAAGCGTCTGGTCCTTATGGGCTAAATAAAGGATGGACACCGGCACTCCAAAGCAAATCCAGTACGTCTATTTATTCATGTACTTGTTGCAAATTCAAAATACAAGATGCAACGTTTCGGGGTCCCACAGGATCCCCTTCTTCAGGCAAACAAGTGATTGTGATTGTTTGCCTGATGAAGGGGATCCCGTGGGACCCCGAAACATTGTATCTTGTGTTTTTAATTTGCAACAAGTACGTGAATAAATAGACGTACTCAGTGGCGGAACTACCAGGGTCGCAGAGGTTGCGGTTGTGACCGGGCCCTGGAGTTCCGCCATTTGGAGGGGGCCTAGGACAGGAGGAAGGGGGGTAACCGCTGATTACCAGGATATTTATTATCCTGGTAACCGCTAATGTCAGTCCCGGGACCTCTTCCTCCTGTCCTGGGCCCTACATGCTTCACATTGCTCCCCTCAGCTTGTTCCGTGTGCAGCGTGAAGTATGATCCAGCCGGCGCAACAGCCAATGAGTGGGAAGCGGTGTTATCCCCGCCCCCTCATCACACAGAATGCTGCCGAATAGAGAGCTGCTGCAGACACGAAGGGGGAGATATAGAGAGCTGGGACTATGAAGGTGACATGGGGTCCAGGCCCTTCATGGATTCTTGCATCGGGGCCCTGAGGTCACTAGTTACTCCTCTGGACGTACTGTATTTGCTTTGGAGTGCCGGTGACCATCTTTTACTTATACTTTGACGGAAGACACCCGTTGACACCTGCTGCACCCACTTCTTATCTCATGGAGCAGCGGTTCAGAGTGTGATGGGTACACGGACTGTATCCTGGTCCTTATTGTCTCACACTTATTATAAAACATTCCTCCAACAAATCATACAAAAGAATCATACAACGAATGATACAAAAGAGGTTTTCTGCCTCTCAGGGAAAGAAGGGGCATCACCATCAGAACACTAAATATAGCCAGGGCCCAATTGGAGGCCATCCCCTTGCTCCTTTTGTCCATGGATGCAGAGAAGGCCTTCAGCTGGGTAGACCGTTACTTCCTTGCGCTTTCCTTAAGTTACACAGCCATCCCTTCCCATATGCCTTCATGAAATCTGGCCTTATATTCCTCCTCCACTGCATCTGTCAAAATAAATAGCTCCCTGTCAGAGAGATTCATTTTAAAATGGCTCCAGACAGGGTTGCCTCCCTTCCCCTCCTATTTTTATACTTGTCCTTTAGCCACTTCTCACAAAAAAAATCAGACAAACCCATACCAAGGATTAGGGATGCACCGGTACTAGTATCGGTGCCGATACCGAGAATTAGAGTGAGTACCTGTACTCGCCAAATGCTCCCGATGCCTATCCTGATACCGATTGGCTGAAGATGCAGTCATTCATTTGGCTGCGCTCAGCTCACACACTGCATGCGAAGCTCCGTGCCTGACAGCTCTACTTGGCTCTGCACTGCTTCGCATGCAGTGTGTCACGGGCTTTGGTATGTCAAGGTTGCCATTGTGCTTATTTCAGCTCTCAACTGCCCTTCCAAGGCCTCAAATCACTGGTGTCTTAGCTGATCACATGTGCAGCCCCATGGCAACTGCAATCCAAATAGAGGCTAAGATGGCACCTTCCCTGGCTGTAGGGATAGGAGGGTGTAGTTCTGCATTAAAAGAACTAAAAAAGAAAAAGTTTTGGCTCCAGTTGCACTGTTAGACTACAGCCCCACCACGTAGCCTTGTTGCATTCCTGTGCATGACCGCTGATCAGACTACTGTTCTATGGCGTGACTATAAGTGACCGTATCTTGTAATAAAAAGGAAGTTTACTCATAGCCTCGAAAATGACAACATACACACCTTCAGAAATGTTTAGTGATGACAATCTACAACACATACTTATAGATTATCGCCAGCTTTGTATTCTTTGCATACCTTGTCTCATGTTCCCTGAACCACTCTCTCACAATCTGAGCCCGATGAATCCTGGCATTGTTATCTCGGAATATGCCCAATGTGCCACCAGGGAAGAAAAAATCAATTGATGGAAAAACCTGATCATTCAGTATATTCAGGGAGGCAGCTGACCTCATTTTTTCAACGTTGCTGAACCTAGACCTGACCAACTAAAGCACCCCCAGATCGTGACACTTATCCAATGAAATACTCTTACCTATTTGCTTAGCTAAATCCAGCTGGGGACTTTTTTTTTGGACAGGCAGTGTACTAATATAAAAACTAAAAGGAGGATGACGATCTTAGAAAATAAAATAGTCACTTGTAAATAATATTGTAAAGGGCAGCAGCTATTATCTCCAATAGATACCCCTATTTATCTCACAGTAAAAGACACAAGTAACGTAAATGAGATTTCTGTTCTCACCAGAGAGATTCAATAAAATTGTCCAAAGGAAGGCAACAGATGTAAAATAAATAAAGTATGTAACACTGATATATATATATATATATATATATATATATATATTTATATTTA